TTGGTGAAGCATTAGACCTACAGAAATTAAAAATCTGATTTGCCCCAAACCTACCATTTCCCATTGGTTGACAATTTCAAAAATTCTTCTTTGTCATCAATTTTCGGCCTATTGTAATCGAGAAAAAATTGAGAAAATTTAGAGGTATATTGGAAATGAAGTTACATTTCCACCTTTATCATAAGTATTTTCTTTGCTGGCTATGTAAATAAATATTCAAGCATAAAGAGGCTTTAACACGTAGTCCAATGACGGACTTGGGGTCAACAAACTTATGGACGGGAGTGTACATCACCGTGTGAGCCAAATAGCCTGCATGGCACTTTTTACGAGATGACATCAAATATCAACATGGGTGAGCGAGTCCATAAACTGACATACGAGAAATTATACCATGGTCAGAACAATATCGCAGGGAAATATTTAGCAAGTGATAAATCACATATTTGGGACAGGGATGATATCAGGGACTGGGTTGATATCAGGATTAGAGGGAAATCAGGGTTGATATTGATATCATCCCGGGTAAATTCAAAAAATTTACATTTTTTATAAAATATCATTTTTCAAAAGAAGATTCAAATTTTCATGCTTTTTGTGTATTTATTTATTTATTTATTTATTACACCTTTAAAACGGTGGCACACCAATACTGGGTGCTCTTACAAAAATGTACATAAAATACAAAACATATTCATTTTGTGGTATCATTGAGATTAGGGTAAAACAAATGCATTAGATAAAAATTGTTTGATACTTCTATCTACTAAAACTTCAATCTCGTGCCCATAAACACTATGTATATCATTGCCCAGTAGCCATTGTAATTTACTCTGAACATTAAGAGATATAAAATGGTTAAAAACATGTTCATTATTGCCTTCAAGTGCACTCTTTAAGTTAGAAAATAAGACAGAACGATGGGAGGTGAAATATGGGCATAACAGTAGGCGGTGGGAAAGATCATCAATCCCTGAATTACAAAATTTGCATAATCCATCACCTTGGCCCCATCTTTTCAAGTCTGCACCAACCATGAAACATCCTGTCCTAGCTCGAAACTTTAAAACAGCGAGTCTAAAATCATTTGAAATGTGCATGTAACGTTCAAGACACCAATTCGTTTTAACATGTTTATAAACGTTTAGTGAGGATTTTACGTTTATTGATTTAAATATATCAGTTTTCATTTGGCTATTTGTGATTGCTTTATATGTCTTCATCCAGGAAGTGTTAGGTCTGAACATGACATCATCCAGTCCTCTATCTTTCATAATTGAGTGGATGTTTCTCATATTTGGCCAACACAACTTTTTATTAAGCCTATGGTGTTCTAACATACAGGGTGTTCCATATGTTTCAGGAATGATGCTATATTTTATTGGTTTTCTTTTCAATCTAACTGAATTTTTGACACAGTGTGTCTAAACATGTTTTGAATAAGTTGGGAAAGTTTCATATCGTGAAGTTCAGTAGTCCTAATTATATGGTTGCTATAGTAACCTATGGGTAGGGTAGGTGGAGCAGGTGTAACAACGCGCAAAATATATGCAATATTTGTAAAAATAGTTTTTTTTGTACCAAGTGTGACTAAGTATTAGGTTTTCAGAGTTGGATCAAACTTGTCAGTAATTAAACAAAAATGAAGGTGGATTCCAGGAAAGTAAAAAAAATGTCATCACCCTTGATCACATCACAATTTAAACACCTGTCATGTCATGAGTCACAACGGAGAATAAACACAGGTCATTTTGGACGAGCGGCCATCTTGAAAAGTGAAAAAGTCATTAGCAAAGGAAAACCTTCGACTTAGGCAACATACAACAATCTGTGACAAGATATGACATGTGTGAATAACAGTTTTCTGCAGCAGACACAATTAACTCCTGACGAATGCATATGGGGACTCAATGATGGTAACCTCTAGAGTGTATGAGTGGTACAAGTGGTTAAAATCTGGAAGGGAAACTGAGACCGATTATCCAAAATGCGGACATCCGAGAACAGTGAGAGCGCTAACTAATGTGGAAGGGATAGATGCTGAAATAATGATGATGGCTAATTAAGGGTGTGATAACATTTTTAATTTCAAGGAAAACACCTTTATTCTTTTTAATTTCCAACAAGTTTGATGCGACTATGACAAATTAATACTTTGAACACTTTATACAAAAAAACTATTTTTACAAATATTTCATATATTTTGCGTGTTGTTACACCTGCTCCACCTACCCTACCCCTAGGTTACTACAGCAACCATATTATTCAGTCTACTGAGTTTCATGATATGAAACTTTTCCAATTTACTTACAACATATTTGGACACATTTTGCCAAAATATCAGCTAGATTGAAAAGAAAACCAATAAAATACAGCATCATTCCTGAAACATATGGAACACCCTGTACTTTGAAAAACAATGTTTAAAAGATCATTCCTATCATTTTTTACAAGGTAGCTAAAATAATTGATCTGTAAATGTTTTCAATGCTTGTAGTTAATGGTTCCCAGCCTAATTCTGCCAAAAGAGCACATGTAGCCGGTTTACACTTTAGATTCAAAATTGCCCTTCCAGCATTATATTGGAGGGAATTTAGTATTTTTGTAGTTGTCTTATTAACACACCATACCCCACAACCATGTGTAATGGCTGGTGTAAACATAGAATTATAAATACTTAGACCAAAGTTGATCCTGTTGACATTGTTATGTTTGGCAAGTACATATCGCATATAAGAATTGATTTTGCATGCTTTTTTAAAAACATAATCTTTAATGTGAGATGTGTCATGGAGTAGATTATCAACAAAGGTTCCAAGATATTTGTATGTTTTTACTTCGTCAATTGCAGCATTACCAAGAAACCATTGCTTGTTAGTATTCATTCTTTTCCCTATCGTCATGACCTTGGATTTCTTTTTACTAAAGTTAAGCCCCATTTTATTCCAAAGGACGATGTAGTATTGAGCATTTCCTGAAGTTCGTCTTCTGAGTCAGCTATCAATACTACATCGTCTGCAAATAATAAGGCGGGAAGATAAGCATTTTCATAACGTATGCCTAATCCTCTAGCTTTAATCATATCAATAAGGTCAGTCATAACAATAGAAAACAGTGTCGGGGATAGATTACATACCTGTTTGAGACCATACTGACTGTCGAAATGATCGGTTTCAAAATTACCAAAAATTACTTTATTTTGTGCATTAGCGTACAATTTATGTAGAATTCTCCAAGTTTTTCCTTGGATTCCTTTGTTCCATAAGTGGCAGAACAATGTATCGCGGTCTAGCACGTCAAACGCTTTTGATACGTCCAGGAAAGCTAAATGAGTAGCCTTTCCCTTATATTTACGAAGGCAACAAAGACCTTTAAAAATCATTTTCATTTTTCAATATATTTTAAAGTATCACGTTTTTCTTTTTTCACAAATTCTCAATGTATGTTAGAGCGGGAACTTAAATATTCCTGAGAGTCAAACATTTGTTCTCATTCAACAGAGGACTTTAGATATATTGCTCTCGACCATGGTATAAGGTCTTATTCCATAGTTAGCATGATATTCATAGGATAACATGTGAAAATAAAAACGGTATTTTTGTAATCAGTGGTAAAATATGATATTTTTGACAAGTTTTCACTTAACCATAGCATACGGTTTTTAGCCATGACATACGACGTCGTATGCGATGGTTTATGGATTTTTGCTACTTCAGACTCAAAACGAGGCTAAGTGTCAACATCGGTTGAAGATCACAGTAGAAATTCCCATAGGTGGCCATTATAACATTTTACCCTATATCTTATTAAATATTAGTATCCAGGCCTAGTGTAACATACCACACTGTCCGGGAGAGACTTACCTAGCTTGCTGTAACAATATTACCATGGGTTGTCCACCGAATTTTTGAGATAAATTGATTTGAAGACACTAACCCCCTCTATAGTCAGGTTTTTCAGAAAAATTCTGGTAAAATCACCAAAGTCAAAATCACTCCGCCGCCAACTTAAAATGAGATTTCCCACTCAACTTTGACATGTTTTTAGATAAATGAGGACCTGCCTTATAAATATTGAGCCACGATTCATTTACCAAACGCCAGATGGCGCTCTGATGGGGTAGGGAAGGAGAAAAATGACTTTTTATACATTAAACCAAATCACTAACGGTAACCGCTAGTATCCTTACTCAGGACTATATTCTAATAGTACAACCATTTTGTTTGTTTTTCTTCAAAATGGTGCTATTTTTATTCTTGGCATTTTTCTGAACACAATGATATATGACAATGCTATATTGAAGCCAATACAAGGGGGGAAATCAATATTTAAAGGCACAGGTCCTTTAAGCTAAATTCATATATTTTTGGTAACGAAATATCTTGTATTTTCTTTGGGGTAGGGGTGCACCATGTAAATTTGGGAGATGTTTCCTTACACTTAATCAAGTTGAATATAGTCATATAGGGTATCAATGGAAAGGTCCTTTACTCACCTTTATAATAATGCCCATTTTTGGGCATTTGCTAATATATTATGACGTCACAATTGCCCTTACAAAAAAGTTACACTCAAAACTGCCCTTGAAAACTGAATTTCACAGGAGACGGAATGGAGGGATATTATGCAAGGTTGACACACACCAAAAAAGCCTAATTAGGTAAAACAATATTATATGTTGTCATATGTGGTCCTATTGCTCCATAATTAAGCCTACCTTTACATTCTGCAGCATCAATGATTTCAGAAGCAGGTGACATCTATAATGCAGAAAATGAAGAAATTCTCAAACCTACCTGTTGTATAAAAATGTACTACTGCCAATGGCCTCTCTAACTGCAAGGCTCTGGATGTACACTCTGGCAAAACAGACTCTGGCAACATGTTCTGGCTTCAGGGTCTGTCTAGATGCAGGAATCTAGGGAGGTAATATAGAGATAATATTATAAATATCTACCAATGCATGCCAATGAGCTTAAGATTAAAAAAAATGAGATAAAAGCTCTTCATAGCATGCATACATAGACCAGATTAATAACTAGCAATGCTTTCCATTTCTTGTAACTATTGTATTAGTCTGGTAACTATTGTATTAGTTTTTTCAATTTCTCAATTTCAACTTTCAACTATGATGTCATAATGATCAATACAAATTGAATCAGTTTGTCCCGAGAGGATTTGAAATAAAGTGATTTCTGGCAAATATATCTGTGTGTTATTTCAATTTGGATATACTACATATTACACAATGTCAAGAGATTTAAGTAGTACACATAAAGGATTGGCTTACAAGAAAAGGCAAAGTCCTGCTGGTAAGAAGTCAAGATTTACAAAAGGACATGCACACATCAAACCATTTACCAAATCTAAACCTTTTTCAGGGGATCATTCCCATTCCATACCGGACACAATCGAGAGATTTGATGAAGATACATTCCGGAATGTCGCTACAACCAGCCGTGATAATCAACGCTATGAGAATCTCGATGTGAATATGAACTTTGGAAATGCCCGCCTGCTAAGACCGTGCAAAAGCCGGAAAGCAGATCTCACTAACACCATGGCCGAAGCACCTCCTGGTGCGACACCGAATGACTGTATTATCGTGAGTACGGCGCAAACACTTATCATGATAAACGATTTAAACAATGAACACAGAAAACATAGTATCGCGTGTGAAGGGAACTATAATATATCACGAATCGCTTCATTTGGTTTGGGCACAAAATTAAAGTTTGCTTGTTCATCCTGCCATTTTCAATCAAAGTTGTACAAAACATATGATGAAGTAGACAATAGCTATTACAAAGGTAACATCAAGGGCCCTAGACCAGCAAAGACAAATGTTGCATTACAGGTAGCACTTAAGCAATCTTCCATTGATTCCAAGCAAGTTAGAAGAATTTTTGCTGCCCTAAATATCAAACCCCCAAGTAAAACTCATATGTTTCAAACAAGCAAAAAGGTAGATGAAAGAATAACAGAACTCTGTCAACAAGATATGAGCAAGCTAAGACAAAATCTCAAGGAAATAAATAAAATGAGAGGTGTAGCTGAACAAGATCAAAATAAAATAGCCGCTGCATTTGATGCTCAATATGGTTCCGTAAAATTTGGCTCTAGAAACAAACTTGGTCCAGATGCCAACAGGGCTATAGGGTTAACTGTTGAAACCATGACAGAAAATCTTGTAATCATTGATGCCGTTCTTCAAAATAAACTTTGTTGGAGGGGTTCGTATATGCGTGCAAGGGGATTCGATGTTAAGTGCCCAGGGGGGCATGAGGGCTGCACAGCAACCATCGAGAAAGCAGCGTCATTCAAAGAACGTCAAATGGGTCGATCTACAGCAAAGACATGCCAGGAAGACGGGATTGTTATTCAGTACCTCACAACAGATGGAGATGGGAAGGGAATCATGGGAGTCAATGATCACTATGCAGAGACAGGAATGGAACACAGAGCAGAGCGCCTCAGCGACCGCATTCACTTGAGTAATCTCCAATTCAAGCACTCCCTAAAGACCTCATTTTCAAGTCAGATGTTTCCGGGAAAAAACAAGTCAACTAAAGAACACTATCAGCGCCTATTTTGTATTGACCTAACCCAAAGATGCACCGCTATCCTTCGCAAACTTTCCCTCACTGATAGGGACCTCTCTAAAGTCTCCACTTTCAAAATCATCAAAATCACTGATTCTCTGATACAATGTTACCAAGGAAACCATACACTCTGTAAGCAAGACCTCAATGAATGTAAGGGGAGGAGGAGCAACAACTGGTGGACGAACTCTTACAATCTAAAGGCTTGCAACCTCAAAGCTACTGACATAAATATGGACAAGAAAAATGATGAAATGTATCTCCGCCTTCTGATAGAAATGAGATTAGGTCCAGAAGCCCTTGCTAGCGGCAAATTTTACACCCATACAAATAAAAATGAGAGCGCGAACCATGTTCTATCAACTGTTTTACCCAAGAATAGAGTCTTTCCTTCGACGGTTTCGGGTAGAATGTCCAGTGCAATCATGCAACTTAACAGGGGGGCAACAAATGGAACTCACCTGATGCTTCAATGTGTTGGTGCTCCAGTATCAGCTGGCTCCCGCGCAGCAAAGGAACTGAAAAAAATTCAAAAAGACATTGACTATGGAAAGCAATACAAAAAAACAACATCCGCAAAGAAAGCGCGTAGATACCATCGGTCGGTACAGTTAAATCAATACTGCAAAATGAAGTCATCAGAGAAGAAACAAGAATATAAGAAGAATCAATTAGATGAAGTAAGGTTAACAAGGCAGGGGTGTGCAAACAGGCCAGAGTTAAAAGATCATGCATATGCTGCAGCAAAGGGAAAGAAGGTATGTTATTACTACATGTATTCTACAGAACTACATTTTGAGAAGAGTAGTTATTGTTATTGTGCCTACCTTCTCAGAACATATAGAGATGTATCATGCACAAAGGCGCGTGACCCCCCAAACACACCCCATAATTAACACATGCAGTCCTACCATTATTGACCCCCCTCCCCTCTAAAACTAAGTGATCTGGATTAATACAAGAACTATTGTGACACAAGTGAGAAACATCTAAAGTACTATCTAAATCTAATTTATCCCGAGAAATCATATACATAACCCTGTGAACCCTCATTGAAACTGACCTCCCATCCAATTTTTTTACTTTAATCCTCCCATACCCTGATGAATCTAGACACCCCTCCCACAATAAACACTGCCCATTGACCCCTAAAAAACATCTCTCTTGAATTCTTGCTTTGTACAGTGTCTTCCACTGGTCCGGATTCATGATGTGCTGCTTAAAATTAAGGAAAATTTTGAAATAATTATGAAATAAAAATGAATTAAAAATCTTACCATCTTTTTTAGTGGGCGATAATAGGTTGAAGATCACAGTAGAAATTCCCATAGGTGGCCATTATAACATTTTACCCTATATCTTATTAAATATTAGTATCCAGGCCTAGTGTAACATACCACACTGTCCGGGAGAGACTTACCTAGCTTGCTGTAACAATATTACCATGGGTTGTCCACCGAATTTTTGAGATAAATTGATTTGAAGACACTAACCCCCTCTATAGTCAGGTTTTTCAGAAAAATTCTGGTAAAATCACCAAAGTCAAAATCACTCCGCCGCCAACTTAAAATGAGATTTCCCACTCAACTTTGACATGTTTTTAGATAAATGAGGACCTGCCTTATAAATATTGAGCCACGATTCATTTACCAAACGCCAGATGGCGCTCTGATGGGGTAGGGAAGGAGAAAAATGACTTTTTATACATTAAACCAAATCACTAACGGTAACCGCTAGTATCCTTACTCAGGACTATATTCATCGCCAGATCGTTTGGGAAATTCGAATTAAATGACTTAATTTCCGACGATCCTGATGATGACTTTAACTATGGAATAAAAAGAACATCATATGATTTACTCGTGATATGATTTTAATCCACTCATGGTTATTGATATCTGCACTCTCTCGCTACGCTCGCTCGTGAAGATATCATATCCATTCGTGGATAAAAATCATATCACTCATAAATCATAGGATATCCTCTATTTATTCACCTATCGGGATGATATGAGGAATATCTCTTGGATAATATTGATATCATCCTTGTGATATTCCCCATATCAATTCCCTCCTTGTGAATAACTTATTTTTATCTCAATTACAACTGAATCGTTGTTTTATTTATATTGGACAGAATTTTTCTGAAAATTAAATTCGTACCTCTTGATGTCTCTGATAAATGATTTTTGGGGAAACCACCCATGATCAGCAAGACTAGACTATCAAAATATCACTGGCTATTATCATAGATAATCACGTAATGCTTCTAATTATCACATAATTACGTCGATATTAGTGGAATTAGAGTCTGATATTTCGTTGTTATTGGTTATTTTAGGCTTGTTATGCGTTGGTCGAATATACATTACAATTTAAGTGATCACATGGCGTCCGATATCTACAATTGATCATCTTGATCTATGAGAAATTTGTGCTTATGTAGCATATATATATACTTGCTATTTATTACTCAGTGGTCTTTTCAGTGACAAACAAGCACTATTACGGTTATTAAACTTTATTAATACACATATAAATTACAATAAATACGATCTGAAATATTACGTGTTTTAGAGAATTAAGTTAATATTTATTAAGCACGATAGTCCATAGAGATGCACCAATACGTTAATGAAATGAATGTTTATTGGTATGTTTACTATATGAATATATTTAGTGTCAATGTTCACTTTAATTCAATAGATTGTGATCCAATATTTCATGAACAATGACAACTCTCTTCGGCTAATGGTTCGGCTAATAAATTCGGCTAATTCGTCGACTAATCTGTCGGCTAATTCGTCGGCTAATCTGTCGGCTAATTCTTCGGCTAACAGGGTTGTTTATGATATTAAGTTCGGCTAACCAGCTTCGGCTAACAGGATTATTTATAATGTTCGGCTAACCCTTTCGGCTAGCAGAACAATGTTTATAACAATTAGAATTCAGCAACTTGTTTCGGCTAATCACTTGATTGAGCTACCATGAAGACTTTTTGTGTGCTTCAATAGGCTAACCAAGAATAACATAACCTTAAACCTGGAAATATATAGAATACAATTCGGCTAATTAACACAATTCGGCTAATCAACACAATTCGGCTAATTGCTCTGTTCTACTGAATTGACCCAGAGATTCGGCTAATTTCCCTGATCGGCCGGCTAATGTTGTGGAATTTCCGGCTAAACACCAGGCTAAACTCCAAAACAATCGGCTAATTGTAACCCTAGAACAACCCAATATAGAGGGAGAATGCACCGTCGGCTAATATATCTTTACAATAGCTCAATAGTCGGCTAAAATGGCTAGCTCGGCTAACTTACCACAAGTCTTGTCAGTGGTTTCCGATTCTTCACGAGAATGGCGGTCGTAACCAGGACACGGACTTATATAGGAATCCAAACCATTGTTTTACGTCATATTCAAACTTCGCGCTTCTATAATGGCAAACTTTTTGCAGAACGGAAATAATCTATATATCACTAGTTTTACTTATTTACTCCAAATTAAAGCTTCAATTATATTCTAATAAATCATTTACCATCCTTGCATTTAATTGCAACATTATCAAATATTCAGAAACAGCTGAACGCTTCTCATAAGTTTTGATTTCGTTTCACCATTAATAATCTACTTCCGGTCAGAGCAGAAGAAACCAATTTTAAAGATTTCTCGGGACATTTTGTAAGTTTTCTCATTTTTATACTAGACTTCATGTCATTTACGTATAATTTATCGTTTCTTTACATTACAGGGGTAACTTTGATCACTGATATAAGTTCGATTTATTATATATATCATATCTTATTGTATAAAAGGACTTCAGATTTTCATTCATAAAAATGACGATCCACGATCGTCACATTACTCCCCTCTTCTTTATGAGATGTGTCCTCACATCTGTAACATAAAAGAATAAATATATATATTTAACATATTTACAATTTTCCTTTATTACAATATAATACAATTTCTATTAGAGGTCTCTGGTCTATCCCATTGTAGTCTTGCCTGACAGGCAACGTCCTTAGTGTTCAAATTGCTGTCTACAACATTCCCTACACTACAACTGTCCTCATCACTACCGCTATTACCATCACTTTCACCGCTACTACTATCACTGTCCCCACTACTACCATCACTGTCCCCACTACTACCATCACTGTCACTACTACTACCACTGCTCTCACTGCCATCACCCTGTCCATCCCTGCATTCATCGTCACCAGAACCATCACCGCTTAAACTAACTACTAGATGTGCTGCTTTCCCATTGTCATCCCAATTATTTATAACTGCACATGATTCAAAATGCATCAACCAGTCTCTCCAACTAACAGACTGACCATCATATTTATCAGGCTTCACTTTCTGCTTGTTGCCAGATGGATATACAGCAGTTGCATTATATAATGGAACTGGATTTTCATTATTTGAAAGCATCTCATTTCCCGAAGATACATCACGATTTTCATTTCTCGTCATTGAATTTTCATTCGAATTGTGACCATTAACACTTGTCAAAGGATGACCATGTAAATCACTAGACAATTGCCGAGCCATATTCCCACAAACAGCCTGGCCATTGACATTCTTAACTTTTTCACCAGAAACAAGTTCTCTCCCCCCTACAAAAATATCCCCCCTCTTTTTAGCAACATCATCAGCTAAACATATTAAATCTGTGCACTCGCTGCTTCTTTCAGTCCCACTGTTTCTCGCAGTTACATCATCTACATTGTTATCACAAGAACGGCAGTCGCGACCTGCTCTCTGTTCCAATTTACTTTCTAACGTTAATATACGTTCCATCAATTGTTGAACAACACCTTTATCACCACTCCCATTCGGATCCGACACCAGCTTACTTTCCGAGCAAGCACTGAATCGTCGACGTTCATTAGTATTTGAATTTACAAGACTTCTCTTTGCCGAGATCCCACTCATTGACCCTGACTCTGCCACTCTGGATATACATCGTCCACCGTGTGACAGACCGTCAGCCGGGCCGATTGACACTGCAGAATTTTCGAGATACCGCTGATTACCGTCTACTGACTCAACTATCTCATCTTGATCTAAAACGTTTGAGGAATTAGATTTAATAATTGACTTTACTGAACCATCGGGCCCCGCCCTATCAATTACGCGTACGGCTCGCTCCGACCGCACAAAACCAATAACATCCGATGGTAATGTCTCACGACGATCAATTCCACTGATTGAATTGAGACAATCACCCTTCTCAGAGTCATTAACTTCTGTAACTCTCGGCTCACCACACCTGGCATCTCTAACAGACGACGCTGTAGCAGACTGCCGATCGATTGACCATCCAATAGGTTTCACCCCACACTCATCGCATTCTTCTTGATTAATGTGAAACCGTATTTTCCTTTTTGTACCCGTAGGTTGATTTATGTGTACTTGATCGCCATCATCATGATTATTTTCCTTATTGCTATCAGAATAAACGACGTCGCCATCGCCTTTTCCAGAACATGTTAACGTCGACTGCAAACCAGGGTCGTTTGCGCTAACAACTCGTGGTTTACGTACAAGATGAACACGTGATTCTCGTGAATTCTCTTCTATATCATAGTCCCTGAATGAAATAACCTCTGGTGTTTCTTTAGAACTCTTTTCTCCACTATCGGTAGGCTCTACGTATGCCTCTACCATTGTACGTATTCAATATATAAATGTTTTCAATTAAATGCAATTAAATACACAATGCGTAAATAAGAAAAATAACCGATGTACTAAAACAGTCACTTTTTTTAACAACTGCTCAACAACCAATCTGGTAGTGCAGGCCGTGAGATAGTCAAACACCACTGCCACCACTTTGTAGCATATATATATACTTGCTATTTATTACTCAGTGGTCTTTTCAGTGACAAACAAGCACTATTACGGTTATTAAACTTTATTAATACACATATAAATTACAATAAATACGATCTGAAATATTACGTGTTTTAGAGAATTAAGTTAATATTTATTAAGCACGATAGTCCATAAAGATGCACCAATACGTTAATGAAATGAATGTTTATTGGTATGTTTACTATATGAATATATTTAGTGTCAATGTTCACTTTAATTCAATAGATTGTGATCCAATATTTCATGAACAATGACAACTCTCTTCGGCTAATGGTTCGGCTAATAAATTCGGCTAATTCGTCGACTAATCTGTCGGCTAATTCGTCGGCTAATCTGTCGGCTAATTCTTCGGCTAACAGGGTTGTTTATGATATTAAGTTCGGCTAACCAGCTTCGGCTAA